GTAGGGGCAGAAATGGGATCAGTGGCTGTGATGATGGGGGGGTATGAAGCTGGTGGGGCTGCCCAGTGCAGGTTTTGGCTGGGGCTCTAAGGAGACAAAATGGTCTCTCTGCTGGGCTGGTGGCAAGGGGCTCCGACCCCCTTTCCAGTGCTCCAATGGGCAATAAGCATCCACCAAATAGGCTCCACCTGCTGAGGAAGCACTCTCACTCCTTCCTCAGTCCCCCCCCCCCCCCCCCCCCCCCCCCCCCCCCCAAAAAAAGGGGCAGGGCCGTGAAGACCTGGGGAAAAGTTGTTAACAAAAAAAGCACCTGTGCCTTGGGATGGTGTACCAGCACCTATTTTCCCTCAGCGTGTGTGGGCTGTGGTGTTTTGTTGAGGAGGGAGAGGAGAGGAGAAAAAAAAAACACAACAACTTTGCACCGGCTCTTCATGCTGTCTCCACTGCTATTGTGGCTGTTCATCTGGAACAGGTTGGCCACCCGTGGCTTATAGGTTAATGCTATAGACTACACACCTTTCCCTCTGCCTGCCCCGTCCCCCCCACCAGTAAATTTTTTAGCAGCCTGGCTCGTGCCGGATCTGGGACCTACCCCTGCTGCAGCTCTGCATTTAAAAATGTATTGGAGCCAGGAGAGCAGGCAGCCCAGCTCCGTTCCAGCTCGTGCCGGGTCTGGTAGCTCAGCCAGATGCTGCCAACTTGTGCTGCTGCCTCTTTATCAGAGGCATTAGCATAGGGCAACAGGCAGCCAGTCTGTGAGGGGAGCCTGTTTTTAAATTGGCTCCCCTTGCAGACCAGCTCCCACCTGGCATCCCGCACTGCTGCCTCTGGCACACATCTGAACAAGCTCGTATGACCTCAGTATTGGTGCATGTGACATATGATGTGACTCCGTTCGTGGATGGAAAATCTTAGGAGAGCCTACAGGATGTTCCCAGCAGAGCTGTCCCTAGTGGCATGCAGGGCCGGGGACAACCCCCCTGCTCTGCCCACTCTCCATCCAGAACTCCCTTCCCCAAAGGATGCAGCCCAGGGCAGGCTTGGTGCCGGCAGCAGGGACTGGGACCACCCTTCACACTCACTGGCGGCAGCAGGAAGCAGAATGATCCGGCCCCAGACTACTCTGCTCCCCCACCTCCCAGCCACACAATTCAGCTTCCCACCCCCACCAATGAGCACAGGAGAGGTTCTACCTCTGCCTCCAGCCTCCTCCCTGTAGCTCCTGTCTTCCCACAGCTCTCGTGTACAGATTCTGCCCCCTGAAGAGCTCCCCCCAACAGGGGAGTGCATAGGGTACCTAAAGTTCCAGGAACAGCGCTGCCCCAAAAAGACAATATTGGTGGCAAAACAGTAATCATCAGCGGGACCACAACTTACAAGTCTGTTGTTACCACTGGATAACACCTTTAGACCCTGTAGCTCCTGTCTTCCCACAGCTCTCGTGTACAGATTCTGCCCCCTGAAGAGCTCCCCCCAACAGGGGAGTGCATAGGGTACCTAAAGTTCCAGGAACAGCGCTGCCCCAAAAAGACAATATTGGTGGCAAAACAGTAATCATCAGCGGGACCACAACTTACAAGTCTGTTGTTACCACTGGATAACACCTTTAGAAAGGCACTGCACAAGTTATCAGGGCAGAAAGGGTGGGATTCCTGTCCTACTCTCTTCTCCTCCTGCTGCCCCAAGTACGATTTCAGTTATTTAAAGTCTTAAAATTCAGTAATAAAGTAGACCCTTTACTGTTTCCATTACAGAGCCCAGTAAAACAAGAAAGTGATGATATAACTTCAGACACCAAGCCTGCACTACAGGATGAAGAGGACTCTGCCTTTGCTCCCCTCAAGTCTGAAGACAGCGGCATAGGTCTGAGTGCCTCATCCCCAGAGCTCTCCGAACACTTAAGAGTACCAAGAGTAACTGCTGAGAAGGATGACGTTTGGAAAAATGGCGGGAGTATTCAGAAGTCTTTGCACTGTATCCAAGAATTAGTCGATAAGTTTGCCAATAAATACATTTTTGGGATACATTTACAAGAGCCAGGTAATGGCAGAATTTCAATTGCAAACATGAGCAGAGGAGAGAAGAAAGAAAATTACAGAGCTACGGAAAATGCTAGCAAGAAAAAGAACTCCTGGGAAGGAAAGCAAATTACGGTACCTCAGTTTAAACAAATGCTTTCAGAATTGTTCACAGTTCGAGGGTCACCATTACAAACCATGACCTTGGTAGTCAAAAGGGAAAAGAAGAAGGAGAATGGGACATTGACCAGGTAATGCTTGACTTGGGGGATATGAAAGAAGACTGCAGAGAGGCCTTTGCTGCTGCTTGTCACCTTCTGCTGGATTGCACTACCTTCCCAGTCTACCTTTCTGAGGAAGAAACAGAGCAACTGTACTTGTCTCTGTTTCAAGTTCCTGGTAAGTGTTTTCGTAGAATGTGTCCCAGAATGTAAACTGTACTGCAAACTAAGTACACTGTGTACTAGGTACAATCCAAGAATGTGCACACAATATAACATGGCAGGGGGTGTGTTTATGAATGTAGCTGTAGTACACTTCGGGTATTTTGGAGGGATATGGGGGGAGACGAAAGGTAAATTGCTTTCTGTGATGAAGACATCCTCATACAAGAGCTCCTCTTATGTCTTAGAATTGAGTGTGTGTTGTAGTTTTTAAATCCACTTTGTTCTCTTTTGAAATGCTTATATTATAAGTGGAAAAATTGTTGAGAATGGTTTTTGTTATTGTGTTCCGGGATATAACAATTCTTCCCAATCCTTCAGGGTTTCCAGGAAAAAGACAATGGACACAAGCTAGCATGCAAGATAGAACAATCTGCATGATTATGGCTGGTTCCCACTGACAATTCAGATACCTTCCAGGAGAGTAACAGAGGGCCTTTGGAAAGGATAGGCTTGTGGTGGGCACAGGAATGGGAAAATAGACTCTGGGGTCTGCTTTTGGCTTTGCTACAGATTTGATGTCAGTAAAATGGGAATAATACTTACCTACTTCTGGGCAGGCGTGAGTCTTCTATGTTGAAGTTCTTTGAGATGCTCAGATAAGACATGTCCATTATGCAGAATGTTATAATTAAAGCGTTTAGCGTCATAGAGCTTCCGAGTTCCCAGAATGTCATGTTGGAGTCATTATGGGCATTCTTGGTTTCACTCTGGCTTTTAGAGATTTCCCTCCTACCTCCATAGTCCGTCATAAATTTTTTTTTTAAATTATTTTTTATATATAAAAAAAAAATATATTAGGGAAGAAAAGCAATCCCATTCTAAAATCTCTTGTAAGGAAAGGATAGATGAGTAACTTTCTGTAGAATAATACAGAAGCAACATGAATACGAGAAGTAATATTTTTAAAATTAACATTATTCAATTTTCATTCACAGTGGAAAAAATAATCCCAACGAAACTTGCAAAATAATGGGGTCTAAATTAGCGGTTACTATTCAGAAGGAGATCTTGCAGTCATCCTGGATGGATCCCTGAAACATCTGCTCAACATGCAGCAGCAACCAAAAAAGCTAATAGTGCTACGAATCATTAAGAAAGGGATAGATAATAAAACAAAAAAATCAGAATCGGACTGGAAGGGATTCTCTAGTCCAGTTCCCTGAACACATGACTGGACTAAGTATTATCTTCTAGATTATCCTTCACAGGTGTTTGTCTAACCAGCTCTTAAAAATCTCCAATGATGGAGATTCTACAACCTCTAGGAAATTTATTCAAGTGCTTAACCATCCTGACAGGAAGTTTTTCCTAATGTCCAACTTAAATCTCACTTGCTGCTAATTTAAACCCTTTTCTTGTCCTACCTGTAGAGGTTTAGGAGAACAATTTTTCACCCTCCTTCTTGTAACAACCTTAGGGTCTGTAACGCAGGGCAGCAGCTGGCTCCCCAGAAGCGGGGCCAGCATAAGCCAGCTTCCGTCACACACCACCTCCCGGCTGCCAGCCCTTCTGCAGAACCCGCAATCTGTAACCACTAAGTTTTTTATTGGATACAAGGTTACATTAGCGATGAGGAGTCCTGTGGGACCTTATAGACTAACTGAAGTGTAGGAGCATAAGCTTTCGTGGGCAAAGACCCACTTCGTCAGATGCATGTAGTGGAAATTTCCAGAGGCAGGAATAAATATGCAGGCCAGGATCAGGCTGGAGATGACCAGGTGGATCCAATCAAGGAGGATGAGGCCCACTTCTAGGTAACAGCGGCAGCAGCTGAACTGAGCAAAAAGGGTAAAAAAGCTTAAAAAAACTAAAACATTACAGAATACAGTATGTACAATAAAAAGGGTTCAGAACACTTTATATACAGTATATAGTGTGTGTGTGTGTGTGTGTGTGTGTGTGTGTATATTTTATTTATATAATATATATAACCAGTTTATAGTACCTCCTGATAGTCTGGCATATTTGATAATCAGGCACCACTTAGGTCCCATGGGTTCCGGATTATCGGAAGTCTACTGTACTTGAAAACTGTTATCCTGCCCCCCTCGGTCTGCTTTTCTCCAGATTAAACAAACCAATTTTTTCCAGTCTTCTTCATAGGTAATGTTTTCTAGATCTTGGATCATTTTTGTTGCTTTTCTCTGGACTTTCTCCAAATTGTCCGCATCTTTCCTGAGATATGGTACCCGGCACTGGACACTGGAGTGAAGCAGAAGAATTACAACTGTGCATCTTGGTTACAACACTCTTGCCAATACATCCAGAATGATGTTTGCTTTTTGTGCAACAGTGTCATGCTATCAACTCATATTTAACTTGTGATCCACTGTAACCCTGATTCTTTTCTAGGTAGTCATTTTCCATTTTGTGTGTATGCCAATATATAAATACATGGTATACCCACATATTAAAATCTGCATGCATTTTTGATTGCCCCATCTCAAAAAAGATCTATTAGAAAAGAAAAAGGTACAGAGGAGGGTGACAAAAATGATTGCCTCTGACTCCTTGGGATGGTCTTCAGTTCTGACTCCTTGGGATGGTCTTCAGTTCTGTTCCTTCTGTTTCTGGTCTGGTGTTTCTCTGATTTGAGTAGTGTTCAATAGTGTTTTCCCCTATATTTTCCCACTTTTCTCCAATCAGCTTTTAGCATATCAGGCCTTCGGGTTTTATTTAACCCATCCATCATGTATTCACAAGCTTTGATTTAAACAATTCCAGTTGCTGTTTAGACAATTTATATGTCACTTTGTGTCATGTCATGTCATCTTGCCCTTGAGTTTTCCCATTTAAATGGCTTTTTGTTAAAGGCTTAAATGTGTTCGGTTTTAGTTGGGTTTTTTGCTTTGTTTGTTTTACTCTCAAAACATCCAGCACAACCTGTTAACTTTGTTTTGTCAGCAATAACATCATTTTAAGCAATCAGTAAATATGTGTAAAAGAAGAATTGGCAAAACCACACTTAAACCAGGTAGGCCGTGGCCTAAATGTTACTTCATCTAAATTAATTTATGATTCTGGATGATAAATTATTAAAATATAGCTACCCAAATTCTAATTCTCCTATTAGCTATCCTTCATTTTTATATTTCTCTGTATCAAGTCCTTACATTATCCTCATGCGAGTAGGTGAGGCTAGAGAGCATGCTATGATTCTTTAATGTCAACAGTTAATTATCTTCTACAAACATAGATTTTTTTTTTCCAGGGAATTTTTGTTACTAAAAGTGCTAAGCCTTACGTTTGCCTTTGTAATTATTACAAATCTTGACAGTGACTTTCCATTTTACAATTTTTGAGGTGCTTGTGTTTTAGAGCCTTAACAGTCAGTTACTTTTAATGGTACCCCAACACACATCTCTCCCAGGTTTGTCTATCAAAGAAAGCACCATTAATCCAACATCTATTTAGGGGTGGGAATTCTGAGAGGATGGTGCTCTTAATAGAATTATGAGGCTTGCTATGTTTTGCTGTTATAATGATTTTTCTTATTACAAAGCATCCCAAAATAATATTAGTAGATAATAAAATTTCATTGCTCTTAGGGGTGCTTGCACTCTCTCTCTCTCTCGCTTAAATTAAAAGAATAAAAAAGTGTAGTACATAATATATTTTAGTCAATCGAGCCCATGGTACACATGGAAATACGAGTTACAAAGCTCGTGATTTTAGGCAGCCAAAAGGGCAGGTAAATTCCATGGGATCACCAGATTTAACAAATGTTTGATAAAGTAATCTAACATTTAAATATTCTTAAATTTTTTTTCCCCCTGTCTTCCGAGGAGGTTGTGATGCCAGCTTCCCTCTGTGGCTTAAATCCCTAATGACGATATGTTGCTGTATAAACGACTGCTATGTTCAGAATGTGTCCATCTCCACGCTGCTTGAAGTGATCAACCATTCTCAGTCGCTGGCACTTGTGATTGAAGACAGAATGAAGCGATATAAAATCTCTGGACACAACCCCATCTTTGGGAGACTGCAGATGGTCACAGTTCCTCCCATTGCTCCTGGTGTTCTAAAGCTAATATCAGAGAAAACCGACTTCTATCAGGTGTCAAATTATTTACTGCACAAATAGGTTTTAGCTAATATATATATGCCTATCATAAGTCGATGGATTTCCTGGGATAATTCTGTATCCGTGAGATACGACATTGAAATTAGTGCCTTCATGTCTACTGAGATTCTCATGCATTGACCCAGTTATACACACTAGCTGTGTCTACACCGGCATGAATTTCTGGAACTGCTTAAAACGGAATACTATTCCGTTTTTAGATTTTCCGGAAAAGGAGCAGCTACATTGGCAGGCTGCTTTTCCGGAAAAGCCCTTTTTCCGGAAAAGCGTCTGTGGCCACTGTCGACGCGCTTTTCCGGAAAAGAGCCCCGATCACCATTTTCACGATCGGGGCTTTTTTCCAGAAAAGACTACTGGGCTGTCTACACTGGCCCTTTTCCGGAACAGTGTTCTGGAATAAGGACTTATGCCCGAGCGGGAGCAGAATAGTTTTTCTGGAATAGCGGCTGATTTTGTACAGTAGAGCATCCTTACTTTTTCCGGAAATTCAAGGGCCAGTGTAGACGGCTCGCAGCTTATTCCGGAAAAGCGGCTGATTTTCCGGAATAAGTGGCCCAGTGTAGACACAGCCACTCTGACATAGCATATATCTCTTGAAATGTATCATACCCGATTATTTTCAAAAGTCAGTTGTGATTTTTGGGAAACCTGAACTTTCTTGTGCACAAACTTAAAGGTCCCTGCATTGTACAGGGTGCTCAGCAATTTTGGAAAATTAAGAGCCAGGTGTCCCAATTGGGGCACTGAACATCACTAGTTACTTTTTAAAATCTTCATCCCTAATTTTAACTTTTAGTTATTTTTTGTTTTGTAAACTTGAAAACTACATTTTGGGAGGATTTTAGTCTCCTTTGAGCTCCCAGTATGTAAAATTGATAGCAAGAAAAAAATAGGAGAAATTCAAAATACAGGCAGTCCCCGAGTTACGCAGATCCGTCTTACGTCGGATCCGCACTTACGAACGGGGCTTTCTCGCCCTGGAACTCGCAGGCAGCGGGACCGCCCAGAGCGCAGCGGTCCCGTCACCTCGACCTCCGGGGCGAGAAAAACTGCTCCGGGTGCCCCTTGTCTGCTGGGGACCGTCTCCAGCAGACCAGGGACACCTGGAGCAAAGCCCCCCGAGTTACGCAGATCCGTCTTACGTCGGATCCGCACTTACGAACGGGGCTTTCTCGCCCTGGAACTCGCAGGCAGCGGGACCGCCCAGAGCGCAGCGGTCCCGTCACCTCGACCTCCGGGGCGAGAAAAACTGCTCCGGGTGCCCCTTGTCTGCTGGGGACCGTCTCCAGCAGACCAGGGACACCTGGAGCAAAGCCGGGGAGGCGGAGGGGTCCCGCGCCTCTGAGGCTTTGCTCTGGCAGACCAGGCTTTTGTTGTGGATCCTGGGGTAGAGCAGCTGGGGTGCTGCCGTGTTGGTCCTGCAGGGACCTACCCGGCCGCCCA